ACAGACATATGGAAAGTCACTCCAAATATATTCATGTGTGACACTGCAAACGAGGCCCACATTAACATCTTTTAAGTCATGAATGTGTACTTCAAGAGTAAATAAAATTAATTACTGTGTTCTAAATTACATTGTTTCAAATAAATGTAATCACAGAGTGATATGCACGAAGTGCAATATGTTGGACATACAATAACTAAGGTTTGGTTAGTTTCAGAATATTTCACAACAAATACCACGATTATATGTCTCAAGCAGAACGAGATATATCATCTTAAATGTACAGTATTCTTTTTTGATGATCCTGTATGATCTTTTTTATCATACGTACGTAGTAAGTAGTGAAAAGGCTCATTACAATTTATGGAAAATAAAAATATTGATATCAGTAACATTTATATATAATTTGAAAAAAGTAATGTCTTATTCCAAAAAAATACAAAAATTACTCAGGGTGAAATCTTATGCTTAAACTACCTGAGTGCCCACGATGTTACTCAGGAAAAATTCAACAAATGCCTACATTTCTTATCTATCTTTCTTGCCCAAAAACATATTATAGGCCTGAATATTTTATATGTACTGTTCAGCATTACATGAAAAATTATTATTCCTACACCCAAGAACATTTGTGTTTACAGTGTCATCTTCCGTCATTAGTTTCAGATATATCCCAGGATCTTGGCCATTCTGCCTCTTAATATAAACAACTGGGCCCATTATTCGTTCTCGAGTTAGCTGTCTCATGAAGTCATTCAATTCTGAAATGTGCTATACAGTGGTAAGTCAAGGAATAAAGCGATTAATCTGCACATTGTAGTTCCATTTATGAAATTAGTCATCATAAACTGAATAATATGTTTGAATAATAATTTATATTTAAAATATTTATGCACAAATCAACAGCATCATAATTTCTTCTAAGAACTTGTTAATGTTGTATCACTTTATTAAACCTAAGATTTTATTATAACTGTTTGATCATAACATTAACTACAAAGATTTCCACTGCCTACCTCAGACAGGATATCCAGAGCTGCCAAATCATCCAGGTACATGGGTTGAGGCTTTGACTTTCGGTTGGGTTTAAGTTTCCCGTGCTTAGTGGTAGCTTCCGGCTGTCGATGGGAAAGCCCTTCAGCTCTCTGTCTTATTATTTCTGCCTTCAGCTCCGAGCGTACCTGAAATCAGCGTAGTAAAATAGACATATTGTTCTCTTTTGAAACCATATTACAATGCCAAATATGCTGGGAAATAAAAGTGGCTCTGAATTAAGTCCAGTTTATCGGCTATGACATAATAAACAGTCAGATGATATTCATTTGTAGATTATTTTAAATATCTGTGCTGTGTAAACAGGCTGCCTGGATAAAATTTTGAGGCACCATGAAACAACTGACCTAGGGGAAACAGTGGGCCTAATTGTCAATAAAAGACATTATAGAAATAATAAAGATACAAAACAATCTTACGTCTGTAAGGGACATAGTTCAGAAATTCCTAAGAAGTGAAAACATGCCTACATGGAGAGACAGCTGACAGCATATAAACCTACACTGATAATGTTATATTTAGATTCATTAAGGTACACATTATGAAGAAAGCACTAAATTAGTTGTTTTAGAGTTTTTCATCACAAGTAATTTATTAATATGACTACAATCAGATAAAAATTGAGACCTCTTGAAAACAAACATTTTTAATAACATATTTTATTCAATTTTATGTGTTTCAGTTGAATATTTCTGCTTTTACTTCAAAGTCCATTCATACCTAGACAGTACCTCATTCTAACTGCTGTCCTAACTCCATGTCTCATTTACTATCATACTGCTGTGAAGTAGCGGTGACAATTTTATGAGATAATGGTACCAAAAAATGAAACAACTGTGGTTCTGAGAAAAATTAATTCAAAATTTTCCATTACTTAACATGATGTAAGCTAATCATATTAACTCTCAACTACTGCAATTCATATTCTGGATAAACTGAAACTTCTTCTGTTCTTTTGTGTGCCCTCTTGGATTTCATTTCTTTCTTTCAGATATTCTGTACCCCTTCTTCAGCTTTCTGAAGCTTCTTCAAGGCATTCACTGAGCCTGTGCCACATCTTACAACAAGAATGTCTGGGACTGGACACCATTAACCTTTAAAGTACCAGGCTTTCAAACCCCCATATCCCTGATGGCATGGTTTAAATCTCACAGAAACACTGCTTTTCTTTGTCTTAAGGTGCTATGCATAACAGGATTGAAGAAAATATAAGAACATTAATCAAGTTGATGGACAGCCTCTTGTTTGGAAATCAAACACATGACCTCCCAAATATCACACAGGAGTAACCACTTTAACTACTATTTTAACCTTTACCATAACAGAACACAAGAAATAAATTCCAATATCACTGGGTTACTGGCTGGGCTTTAGCTCTGTGGTTAATGGTTTTGAGGTACGCTAGTGTTACACGACCAGCTGGACTGCATATAAGCTGCGTCACACGGACGATAAAGGTTAATTTATGAAAACGGACTTCTTGACGATACGTACATAACGAATGATCAATTACAGATACGTAAACAAAAAATGTATCATGATACCGAACAAAATTACCACCGACAAGTTACAACAACAAAATAAAAAATAAATAAAAAAGGGGGCAGTTTCGTAGCTCACCTTGTCTGCATAGACAGCACCACATCTCATAAACGGGTGTTCCAGCAGCCAGGTCCTTGATCAGACACCTGGATATGAAGTCGGGTAGGAGTGACAGGGTATAATCTTCTGGGTGAGATAACTGCGGTGGGGGATTTCGTGGGATCTGAAAGAGCGCTCGCATAGGATGGAGGTCTGATAATGGTGGCTCCCCTTCTGCTAGCTCAATGGCAGTTATACCAAGTGACCAGACATCACATCTTGAATCATACGATGAATCCAGCTGTTGTTCACATGCTATCACCTTGAAGAGAAAAGAAGGTGGTCAGTCTGAAGCCAATCGCTTCTTCGTCAGTTGTAGTCACATCCTCTGAACCATAATTTTTCTGACAGAAATTAATCTCTCAGGAGCTAAATTATCAACTGCACTTCTTTGTTGCCTGTCTATAATAGTCTAAATATAAAGCATGCCTTTAACAGAAATGTTATTAGTAATGTATAAGTAATGGTGATAAGCTTTTCACAAATGAAAGAACTAATAAACTGCCTAGAAATAAGCCATGTAACTGTGCCACAGTCATATTTAGAAGTACTGTTAAATAGTAACTAACCTTAAGTGCACAGCAACAGAGGATTTAAACTCCATGCCACAGGTCTGCCTGCCAGATGAGAGGGTTTAGCAGTCTGCTAGTATGAATGCACGGCCAGCTGGACTACATGTAAGCACTGAGGCACAGATGATAAAGAGTAAATAAACGGTCACAGGAAGAAGAAATTACCTCAGGAGCCATCCAGTACGGTGTTCCGACCGACGTGTTTCTGCGGCCAAGAGTTACAGCAAGGTGGGAAGACACCCCAAAGTCTATAAGCTTCACATGAGCATCCTCTGTCAGCAGAATGTTGTGCCCCTTCACATCTCTGTGCATGCAATGGTTGCTGTGCAAATACATGAGAGCCTGCCAACATAACAAACATATAAATATATATAATAATGATCTTCTACAGATGATGATGACAAAATCTTCAAAATGTATGGTCACAAACCTCCACGTGTGCTTTAGTTCATTCATTTGAATTCAACTTCTCTTTTTAAAATTTTGAACGTCCATTCCATTGTGCGAATCACTAATCATAAAATTTTACTAACCATCACACACAATACATGGCATGCCATGCCAATGCTCTTTCAGTAACTCAGAATACATAGCGTCGAATTTGAGGATTATATTGAGTAACAAATCAGAAAGTGGACTAGTGGTTAGCGTGCTCGCCACTGGACCCAAGGTTCGCTGGTTCAAACCCGGCCGAGGTCGATGGATTTTTAAGGGTGATAAAAATCCGTAGCACAACTTCCTGCAGAAAGGAAGTAAAGCCTGCGGTCCCACGTCGTAGATTTACGGCACGTAAAAGAACCATGATTCTGACGTAAGCCAGTTCTCTTCCCCATTTGATCCCACCTTTCTCTGCCATTCACGAGTCTACTATTCAAGTGAGGATAGGAAATACGGAGGTTCAACCACATCTCCGGATCAATCTACCCGCCAACATCGAATCCAAAGACAAGCACCATGATCTATTGGATGAATTAAAAAAGAATTCTAAATACAGAAGACATACGTAAGCCTGATTTGTACAAATTAAGACAACTCCACAGCCATTTTCTTACACCTCTAAGACAGATAGGATTCTGGCAGAACACGTCTTTCTCCTCCGAATTTTTTATTTACCCAATTTTTCAACACTATTAAGTACATTACCTCAGCTGTTTCTTTCATTAAGTATGCAATCTGTTCCTCTGTGAGACGGTCATTGCGATGTTTCAATCCTTGCACCAGATCTGTCACTGAACCACCAGTACAAAGCTGAAACAAAACACAGTCCATCACTGAACACAAGTGCAAATACGAAGTATAATCCAAACACATTTTAAAAGTTTGTGTTCCTAAAACAAAAGCCCACTGAATGGAAGTGAACCACCTAGGCTAAAATGCCTCCACAACTGAGGAGTGATCAGAACCACATTAACATCTTTACTCCTATAATTCGAACATCACAAGCCACAGAAACATATTATATATAACTTGAAACAATGCTTGAGAATCTAACAGTACACTCAGATAGTCATGAAATTACCTGCATTTTATGGAATGTGAAGGTTCATTACCATGTTCACAAGAACTCACATGTCCCTATCCTCAGCCATACAAATCTAATGCATACCCCAAACACTGCTCCCATAAGATCTATTTTAATATTATCCTCCCACCTATGTCCCTCCAGCCTATCCAGCTAAAACTTTGTACGCATTCCTCGTCTCACCAATACATGCTATGTGCTCCGCCCATTTCATCCTCCTTGACTTGATCATCCTAAAAATGTCTGGCGAAGAATACACTTTCTCCAGCCTCCTGTTACTTCATCCTCTGTGGTCCAAATATTCTCATCAGCACCTCGTTCTCTAACACCCTCAATCTGTGGCATTCCCTTTACACAAGAGACCGGTTTTCACACCCGTACGATAAACCGGTAAAGCAGTTTGGTATATTTTAATAGTTATGTTCTTAGGCAGCAGATAGAAAGACAAACGCTCGTTCATTTCCAGAATTTCAAGAGTTTACTCTGCTCTTAATTTCCACATTTTCATATGAGCTACCAGTTACCCTTATACAAAAATTTTATCTTGCAGTCTGGTAACGAGACATGAACACATATATTTACTTTCCTATGTGTTTAACTCCAAACCAGTTTCCTTGCTAGTATGTAATAGAATTTTCATGTTTTTCCTTATAATATTTATGTTTACACCCAGGACATTAACTTCATCAACACAGACCTCAAGCTGAAGTGTCCCATTCAATTCCAACCCCTCTTTGGTTTCATCGACCTTCCTCACAGAATATTCTAAAGCAAAGCCTAAAAGTAATGATGATGAAGCATCTCCTTGTTTCAGAGCATTCTGAACAGGAAATATATCATATAAATGTGTAAAATTATGGACTTAACTATAGATTTCATTCAAACACAACTTAATTATTGTAAATAGTTTCACTGGTAAATCAAATTCAATGAGAATGCTAACTGAATCAAAGGTTTTCTTAAGTTCATAAATAGCTGATGTACAGTCCCATTGGACTCCTCCTAGTATCTGACAAATGCAGTCAGCAGTTGATTTATTACATCAGAAACAAATGATCCCCAATAATTTTGTCTACATATGCGGCTTACCTTGACAGATGAGTGCTGAACAAAATTTTGTACATAATTGATAACAATGGCATTTCTCAATAATTAAAACAGCCAGATTTATTGCTTTCCTTATAATAGGTACAATAATAAATTCTGGCAAGAAATCCTTATTTCTAATGGAACTATTAAGTACGTAGGAATCTGCAAGCAGATCACCATTCTCATCTTCTACCAAGTTGGTAACTCTTATTAAATTCATTTTTACCAACATTCTTGAATTTGTAAGATTTGAGGTCATACTGCCTCTGTCATCAGGGCGATGAGTATGAAGATGTCTGTCTTCTGGGTTGTTGCGTCGTTTCAGAGGTCATACTGCCTTCGTCATCAGGACGATGAGTCTGAAGATTTCTGTCTTCTGGGGTGTTGCGCTGTGTAGTCTGGTCGATGTCAGCCAACGTTTCAGAGGTCAAACTGCCTCCATCATCAGGGCGATGAGTATGAAGATGTCTGTCTTCTGGGTTGTTGCGTCGTTTCAGAGGTCATACTGCCTTCGTCATCAGGACGATGAGTCTGAAGATTTCTGTCTTCTGGGGTGTTGCGCTGTGTAGTCTGGTCGATGTCAGCCAACGTTTCAGAGGTCAAACTGCCTCCATCATCAGGGCGATGAGTATGAAGATGTCTGTCTTCTGGGTTGTTGCGTCGTTTCAGAGGTCATACTGCCTTCGTCATCAGGACGATGAGTCTGAAGATTTCTGTCTTCTGGGGTGTTGCGCTGTGTAGTCTGGTCGATGTCAGCCAACGTTTCAGAGGTCAAACTGCCTCCATCATCAGGGCGATGAGTATGAAGATGTCTGTCTTCTGGGTTGTTGCGTCGTTTCAGAGGTCATACTGCCTTCGTCATCAGGACGATGAGTCTGAAGATTTCTGTCTTCTGGGGTGTTGCGCTGTGTAGTCTGGTCGATGTCAGCCAACGTTTCAGAGGTCAAACTGCCTCCATCATCAGGGCGATGAGTATGAAGATGTCTGTCTTCTGGGTTGTTGCGTCGTTTCAGAGGTCATACTGCCTTCGTCATCAGGACGATGAGTCTGAAGATTTCTGTCTTCTGGGGTGTTGCGCTGTGTAGTCTGGTCGATGTCAGCCAACGTTTCAGAGGTCAAACTGCCTCCATCATCAGGGCGATGAGTATGAAGATGTCTGTCTTCTGGGTTGTTGCGTCGTTTCAGAGGTCATACTGCCTTCGTCATCAGGACGATGAGTCTGAAGATTTCTGTCTTCTGGGGTGTTGCGCTGTGTAGTCTGGTCGATGTCAGCCAACGTTTCAGAGGTCAAACTGCCTCCATCATCAGGGCGATGAGTATGAAGATGTCTGTCTTCTGGGTTGTTGCGTCGTTTCAGAGGTCATACTGCCTTCGTCATCAGGACGATGAGTCTGAAGATTTCTGTCTTCTGGGGTGTTGCGCTGTGTAGTCTGGTCGATGTCAGCCAACGTTTCAGAGGTCAAACTGCCTCCATCATCAGGGCGATGAGTATGAAGATGTCTGTCTTCTGGGTTGTTGCGTCGTTTCAGAGGTCATACTGCCTTCGTCATCAGGACGATGAGTCTGAAGATTTCTGTCTTCTGGGGTGTTGCGCTGTGTAGTCTGGTCGATGTCAGCCAACGTTTCAGAGGTCAAACTGCCTCCATCATCAGGGCGATGAGTATGAAGATGTCTGTCTTCTGGGTTGTTGCGTCGTTTCAGAGGTCATACTGCCTTCGTCATCAGGGCGATGAATTCAGCGCAACAACCCAGAAGACAGAAATCTTCATTCTTGAACTTATTGTTTGATTTAAGATCTTTAATTTTCTCTTGCAGATATTCCCTTTTCTTGTTGAGCTATATTAAATAATTCTGGGACCAATGCACTAGGACACGCGAAATGGTTATGCTATCAAAGTTTGGGAAGCTTGTAACAATTTCTGAGGGTGCAGGGACCCACCCTCTCCTTCACTGGTCATAACATTAAACGTTGCAAGATAGAAACAAGGGTGCACACTGCAGCTCACCTCCATGGTAATCCAGAGCTGGTCCACATCAGGGCGGAAGTAGAGCCCGTGAAAGGTGGGAATGTTTGGGTGTCTGCTCAGGTCACGGAGCACCAGGTACTCCTCCTCAATCTCCTCAATGTTGTCAGCCACATTTTCCAGGATCTTTATGGCCACCCGATGACCTGCACACCAAGTCACCGCCATTAACATCAGGCAGCTCATGATCCATCATGAAACCGCAAGCAGTTGCGACTAATTCCTTACAATTCATCACAACCCTGGTGGCTTAGTAGAAAACAAATATTCAATGCAGTTGATACAGTGTCCATAACTCTGAAACTATGGGTATTTTGGTTAACATTTAACAGAATCGATACACTTGAATTTCAAATTCAGTTGCTGCATTTCTTACCATTAATCTTGGTCTGTATGAGGGGAGACAATCTTTGCCTGCTCTGCCCCTTGGCTCTCTGATGTCTTGTTCTTGAAAATATGCATCAGGTATAGTTCATATTACTGTGGCATTACAAAAGTTAAACTGTCTCCTTGTGCGTAAACAGAGCATCAGATGTGAATCAGATGGCGATAGACACAATCACCCTTGAAATGCTCTGCCCAGCAGCTAACCTACTGTCTGTCCAGCAATGCTGCTTCGGTAACAAATGCATTGACGAGACATTAAACATTGGCCGGCACCTGAAACTACTCGTTGAACAAGCAAGCACAGTGGTAGAACTGGATCCACCGATTATGGCCGCTGACCTTGTAGGGAGTGCCCAGTATGGGACCACTCAATGAAGGAAGGAAGGAGTTTCCGTCGGTCAGTACAGTCTGTGTCAGTGCAGCGGTGTAGAAGCCTGATAATTGTCGTCTTGTGACTGTGCTGTGTTAACAACATGCCACCTGTTCGTTGCAATCTCCTTTCTGGTCATTGACAACGCCTCGTATCACAGACAAACCACCGACGTCTTAATCAAAAGAGGACGAAATGAAAGCCTGGTTATTGGAAATAAACATCCCATTTTGTGACGTGTTCAAAGCTCAACTGTAAGATTTAATCAAATTAAATAAGTCAAGGCACAAATATTACGTGATTAATCAGATTTTGGCAGACAAAGAACGGACTGTGCTGAGACTTCCGCCGAACCATCCCGATTTAAACCCCATTGAACTTATTTGGGCAGACGTAAAACAATGGGTTGCAAGCAAGAACACAACATTTAAAATTAAGGACGTCGAGCATCTGTGTCGCCAGAGATTCGAAGAATTTGGGCAAGAGGAATGAAAAACCAGAACAAATTTATTATGAGCAAGAAGGCATAATCGAAGACGCTATTGAACGTACTAGGGAAATCGACTTTCCTGTCTTACATAACGTTGTGATAATTTATTTGGAGTGTACTTTACGCGGCCTATTGCCTTCCCTTCCAGCGAACTTCTGGTAAGTGACTCGCTCCGAGGTTCCAATTCACAAAGTTCAGCGGCCAAAAACACTGGAACGCAGTATAACTGTTCAAAACTTCTTCAAGGGAAAAGGATTCTTTCATTTTCTTTCCCGGGGACAAATTTGTGGACAGAAAAATCGTTATTCTGATCCGATTTGTATGTTTTTTCTTGTTTATCCATCGTTAAATAAAAGTGAAAGAATTTGTAGAATAAGAAGATGGCTGTCTTCTGGGTTGTTGGGTCGTGTAGTCGGGTAGAAGTTTACCGCCGTTTCAGATATCCTTGCTGCCTCCATCATCAGGGCGATAGAGGCAGCATCGCACACATCGCCGTGATAATGGAGGCAGAATCACAATCATCGCCCTGAAGATGACGGCAGCAAGGACCTCTGAAACGTCGGTAAACGTCTACCAGACTACACGGCGCAACAACCCAGAAGACAGAAATCTTCCAAATCCTCCAATTTGTACAATAACAACACTGAATAGATATTTAAAGGCACCGGCCCTACATACAACATTAAACAACGGATTTATATTAAAATATTTTCTACTACAATACAAACAGCATTTCGCTGGAAAAAGCACATAATTCGGCACGCGATGGACACTGCAATCACTGCTCACTGAAATGGACTTTAGAGAGACTTCGGATTTAAAGCAAAGAATTGGCGCTGGTCCAGTTTGGGCGAACTTATTTCGCCGAAGTTCTCCGAGAGCTTTCAAAACAAATATTTAACATAAAATGATCGTATTAAATCATGACGAGTGTGTGTGTGCGTGCGTACGGAAGGACACGCACCGTACAAGTGCGTTGTGTGAATCAGACCCCGTCCAGTTTACAGAGAGACCCTGGCTTGTCGGTTAGTGTTAAGTGCCGTCACAAGCGGATGTTAACTGGGGCGTGAGACGAGCAAGCGGATAACTCTACTGTTTTGCATAAGTGCATAAAATGAACGCACAATGCAGATCACTACCTCCGAAACTACTGAACGACTTTCATCAAAATGTGTCTCTCTCTTCTTCAATTCGTGGGGCGAACGTAACTTCGAGTCAGATCGTCCTAGTTGAAGTCAGATGAACTCTCATTAGGCCCATTGGCCCAAAAAATTGTCTAACTTAAAGACATTTAGTAAATTAAATAAATCATACATTTTATCCAGATCCACATATTTTTACTATTTATATTTTATTTAACTTATTATGTGCTTAGGACGAGGGACCATACTTATTTTATTTTGGAACTATTTTCAGATTCTGTCACCGTCCGATTGATCAAGTTTCACACCCACGAGAAGCGGTACGTGGAATGACGAATGTGTAGTCCGGTAGAGGTTTACCGACGCTTCAGAGGTCCTCACTGCCTCCATCATCAGGGCCATGAGTCTCATATCACATGGAGCCCAACCTGTCCATTCACTCATTCATTGTTAAACTGATTAATTTCTGGTAGCATCGCCTTTCACCACCCTTGCACAATCGATCACAAACTATCGAACACTCCGTGAGGTTAAAGTTGAATGTAGCGGTTGTACGAGGTGCGATCGGAAAGTTTCAAGAATGTGTCAATAGAGGGCGAACCTGATGTAGTACGAGCTTCTGCTTTTAGGGGGTGCGGCCTACATTCATAGTGAATCAGTGTGCCAGCCGGCATCATCGAATTAGCATTTGTTTCTTAGTTACGGGCGTTTTGGTAGTGCATTACACCGACCCTCCTGCGATTTCGGAATGGCGGATTTTCATGAACAAATCAAATTTTGCCAAAGACTCGCCAAAACGGCTAAGGAAACCTATGAAATGCTAAAGCAAACATTTGGGGAGTCCGCAAACTTTTGTGTGGCATTCACGTTTTAAAAATGGCCGAACCTCTGGCG